ATAGATTAGTATAAAATATTTAATTTTTAATAATTTTTTTTTTAAGTTGACAATGCATAGTAGGTCAAAATAAAGGAAAATTTAGAAATAAAAATCAAATTTTTCGAAATTTTTACAATTTATCCATGAATATTTTAATATTTTAATATTATTTTAATAATATATATAATAATAATATTTTAATATAATATTGATATTTTTTTAAATTTTATTTTTTTTAAATTAATAGAAAATAAATCATACTATCTAAAGTAAAAGAAATAGAAAATTATTTTATTGATAAAGAGAAAGTAAAGAAAAAATACAGAGAAGTTTTTTGAAAACAAAGATATATATTGCTATTGATGAATTTATATGGCTAATGTAATTATTACTGATTTCGAAAATTCAGAAAAGAAAAAGAAAAAAATTGTTATAATAATAATTAACTTTAATAAATTATGAAAAACGCGGATTTAAAAGCATTAACTATTGATTTATGAATATTTTTCTTCTACGAAAATTGAACTTCAATGGTAGAAGACAGTAGCATATCGTTTGATTTAAACGACTCAAGTTAATGCTAGTTGAAACATAATACATCTGTTATGTTTTTAAAAATAGTGAAAAAATTAAGTAAAGATTATTTTTAAACTGAACAGAAGGCATAAGTGTATTAATATACAAATGTAATATACAAAATTTCAGTATTACATTAATTCATAAGTGAGAATGAAAAAGTCTTAAACATAAAAATTCTAATCTGAAAATTAGTCCATTATGGAATGAATTTACGATGAGCCAACATATTTTACGAGTTAATAGTGGATTTATTACGTCAAAAGACAATTGAAGTGTATCAGTTAAATGAATAGAAAAATTTGTATTTTTATGAAAAAAAAATATCTCCATGCCAAAATTAAATGGAGATATGTCGTATATCAAAAAATATATAACAAATTATACAAATGTCGATATGAAGAAATCATATTGATAAATCAACTGGATCTATATCGTTGAAAAATAGCTAAAGTATATATGTCAATTATATTTTAGAACTTTAGTATGAAATATTACATGTTATACATATTTAATAGAAAACAAGAAGTTTGTGCTCAGTTATGAAATCTAAGTATCCCTAATTGCAAAAATAATCAAAATTACCGTTATATTGTCCAAAAATATAATGTTTCTAAGAGTACTGTTTATAAAATTTATAAAAAATATTTAGAACATGGTAATATTGATAATTTAAGCGATCGAGGATGAAAACGTAACACAAGTGCATACAAAGATAGAAGAATTATAAGAGTATTTCAATATAATCCAACAATAGTATCACGAAATTGAACAGTTATAATTAAATTTATCTTCAAGAACTGTAAGACGAAAATTAAAAGAGACAGGTTTAAAGAATTGTATGATTTACTAGATGCAAACCATACAGTAATAAAGTACAAAAAAAAAAAATGTTTAAATTTCGCCAAAAAGTATATAAATAAGCCACTATCATATTGAAAACAATTAATTTGGAACGATGAGAGTAAATTTGAATTATTGAATAAGAAAAGAAGGACACGAGTACAAAGAAAACCAAATGAATCCTTAAAAAAGCAATATGTTTTACTGATTCAAATATGGAGATCAGTGGTATAAGCTTATTCTTCATGATGTGGAGTGGGAAATTTAGTATCTATAGATGGCATTGTGAATGCAGATAAATACATTAATATCCTAAATGAAAATTTAGAAGAATGAATTTTAAAAATGAACCTTAATAAAAAATGGATATACAACAAGATTCAAAGCATATCGTTACAAAAACAAAGCAACTTCTTCAAAATTACAAAATAGAAATTCTGGAATGGTCTTCACAAATCCCGGGCATTGATCCGATAGAAAATTTGTCAAATATGTTGGATGCAAAAATTTTTTAGAAAAACGTATAAACAAATATTTTTGGAAGAATTACAATTGAAAATTAAACAGATTAGCAAAAACTATTTAGAAAAATTTGAAAGCATACGGTTAAAGACCATTATAAAAGTAAGATTGATGATCATAAAGTATCTATTTAAATTTGTCCACATGCATTTTGTATAAATGATATAAATTTATAGTACATTCTTTTCATTATAATTGAATTTTAATGTTTTACGTTTTATGTTTCATTTTATACTATGTTAACTTAAGTGTTCAATAAAATTTAGATCACAAGTAAATGAATTAGCTTTGTCGTATATCGAAAAATATACAACAATAATTACATATGCCAAATTGCCAATAAGCTAATAACCAATATTCTTTGTGCCAAAATTGAATAGAATTTTATTGCACATTGAAAGATGTATGACAAATTACATAGATATCAATGTCATTTATTGAAAAATAGAGATACAGAAGAACATTTTATAAATATAATAAAACTTATAATAGTTTATAACAAATTTATAACTCAATGAGATCTCAATAATACTCTCGATATGAAAAATATAGATAGTCGTAAATGAGAGAAAAGAATGAAAGAAGCAATCTAAAAGAGAAATAGACTAATAAAGCTTTAGTTTGATATAAGACTTATTTTATTTATGTTATTTCTTTTGAAGATTTTTTTTTTTCAAAAAACGAATATACAAAAATTTCTATTTGATAAAACAGATCAAAACTATAAACTATAAATAGATCTTTATTTATTCAAACAGCAAGTAATTTCAAATGAATTAAAATGAATCATTGATAAAAAAAAATTCAAAAAACAATAATCGATCAATTAGCAAAAGAGAAAATGATTAAGAAAGAAGATATTAACTCCTTCAAAAGACAATGGAGAAACTAAAAGAAAAAGAAAACTAAAAGAAGAAATCTTGGAAAGTTCAGTAAAATCAAAAATGATAAGGAAGAATAAAAAGAAAGATATACAAAAAAAAAATTCTAATAACAACTATAATAAAAAAAATAAAAATAAAATATCTAGATATCGAGTGTATTTCGAATATGTTCGATAACAAGAATATAAAAGTCCCAAGAAACTTTTGAACATATTTGAAAACAAATAAAAGAAAAAAAAAAAGAAGTTTCTCTATGAAGATCAAGTGTATTGGTGAATCGGATCACAACAGGATTCCAAGAATAAAAAGAGTTATGCCCTTCAGTTCAGAGAAGAAATGTAGATTTGCCATTTTTTTATCCAAACGCAACACACAATGCAAACATGATACGAACAAGATAATGAAACAAACACAGGATCCAAGCGAACGGTTTGAGATTGTCAAGTTATTGGAAATTCTGCTAATCATAGATATCGTGACAGTATTAGCAGAGGAGTCAGAAATCTGTAGATGATCAATTTTTTTACTAATCAAAAGCATTGAGAGAAAATTGTACGATCTTTGTATAAGAATACTTAGATACTCAATTTATTTGACAATTTATCTTCGGAAGTAATAATGAATAGTATTTCTCTGCATTTTATACAAAGCTGTTACTATCATATTTAGTGATGTTTGTTTTGTATTTTCTATATTGTATAATTAATAATTAATAATATTATATTTAGCCAATACTAAATAGATAAATTATAAATATTGAATTATTAATGCACGTGAATAATAAATAATAGAATAAGAAATATTAATGATAAATGGCTATCGTTGCACGTATTATAAACTGAGATATCAATGAACGTGTAGATAGAAAAACAGATAACAAAATAGGTAACTGGCTAGGCACTTTTGCATATATACGTATACTTATGAGATGCATATGGGCACAGATATATTTCTTAAAAAATGGATCCAATATTTGGATAAATTGAGATGAATAAATAGTTTTAACAGGAAAAAAAAGCAATAATCAATGAGAAAAATCGAGTATTATCCGTATTTGTTTTAATATAATGACAAATATAGAGGAGATTAACTTCTCATTAATGCGAAAATCTATATATAAATTTATTTATACTTGAAATGTATCACTGATCACTTCAGATGATGATTTCTTTTATGAAATGTTATATGTATGAAGCAACATCCAAAGATGTCAATAAGTTAACAGAAAAAAATGAGATAAATCAAGAACCATTAAGATTTCAATTATCATATCATATTACGTATAAGGATTATATATTCTGTTAACTAGAAACTAATAAAAAAAAAATCAAAATCGTATTCGAAAAAAACTTTGAAGAACTGGAAATGTTCTATCGTCAACAATATTCATGAACATGAAAAAAAAAAAAGAAAAATATACAGTAAATTTTGTTCACTTTTATCTTCCTTATTTCAAACAATACGCGAAAATATTTCAAATAAAAATTACAAGATTTAAAAGAATATGAATATAATATGATAACAATAGTTTCCTGATAAGTCGATATACCAAAGAGATATGAACTTTTGTTTTTTTAAATAGAACATTCTATTTTTCATATTTAATAGAATTATGAATTCTAAATATAAAAAAAAAAGTATTAAGATATGTTTATTCTAAAACTTTCTGAAATATTTTATTTTATTCATTTTTTTATTTCATTGAATGATGTTCGAAATATCGATACGAACTGTTGCATTCCTTATTTCTCTTAGCAAAGTCTATTATATGCTTCAAAATCGTGATCTAGTTGTTATGATATTTAATATTTTTCATAATTTTTTCAAGAAAAAATTTAAAAATCTAGAAATATCAAATCTGGAGATCTAGCTGACCAGGAAACAATGTCTTCATTTTATCTATCGATTTGAAAACATTTTATTAAAGACATTCTCACTCTTCGAGCGTAATATGCGTAATATGCATAATATATTGGACAGTCATTATAATAAAACTATATAATGTTCTATAAACATTTGATGGTATGTTTTCTAATATCATTAAATATATCTTAAGAATGTTATATAATATAAATATAATTTTTTTTTATTAAATCGTTATAAAAATATATTATAATAAATTTATATATATAAAGTGTTTTCAATCATACGTTATATGTATATATATTTTTAATTTTATTAGCTATACAGTTACCTTCTTATAACACGATTAATTCGTTCTGTCTTATATCCAAATCGTTATTAAACAAATTCTAAAAATATAAATCAAAGAAATATCAACAAAAATATGATGGAAATATTCAAGTTAAATGAATCTACATTTATTGAGTCATATATAAAAATCATGTTTTCAGAATATCGTGTTAAAAAAGCGTAGATTGTATAATATATATATTTAGTTATAATATTTCAGTCATATATTGCTATTATTTATATATACAAAAATATAAAAGTTGCAAATTTTTACCTATGATTTAGAACGTGCAAATGTTCAAGAAGGAATCAGGATTATCCATGCCAAAACTAGAGTTGAAATCTAACTCAGTAGACAACTCGTCGATTTGGATCGTCTATTGTTTGAGACAATGGCATGTCCAGAAAGGAATACAATCATTTCGTTATGACGATGACTTGCTCTGGATAAAGATGGCATAAGAACGCACTATCAATCCGCCTATTTGTGAAATAAATATAAATATAATGTAATATAAGAATAAAAATAAAAATTTCAAAAGATGAAGAAAACAACAGAAAATAGAACATTATATATTTTATAATTTTAAAAAATAATCTTCCTCTTCAATTCCTTCATTTAAACTTATTTTTTGATAGGATTCGTAAATGTTTATAAATTTTGATGCAAAATAATTTATTATTGATCTTATAATCTGTTAGAATTTTCACTGATATTATCTTGTTTGAAAATACCATATTTTCCATCATTTTAAAGAAAAAGTTTCAATTATATCTCTCTCTATCTCCAATAATGATCCAACCTTCGAACTTGTCCCAGAATCAAAAATTTTTTCATTTGTGATAAAGTTATATTTTTTTATATTGACTTTTATAAATTTTGAAATTATGCGAATTTTGAGAGTAACATCTGATTTTTTAAGAATATATCAATTGAAGATATGATTCGTCAATATCTTCATTTAACTTCTGAGTTTATCGAAGGATTATTGAGATGATGGAAATCTAATCGAACAAGATTTCCATTATTATCTGCAAAAATAGTTTTTAGTTATATTTGCGACTCAGATCACAAATGAATATATATTTTCTATATTTATAACATAAATTGGAACAGAATTTGCCTGACAATATGAAACAACTATATTTTCTTCATAGTTATTTAAAATAAATATTATTGCGTTTGATATTCGACATACGATTTTCTATTACATTTCTTTATTTATAAACTTTTTTACACTTCAACACTTAATTTACTTATAATCATTTACACTTTGTTTCGTCATTTATGAAACAATATAATACAATTTGCTCAGAAAGAACACACGATCGTTCCATATCCAGAAAACGACTTCATTTAATCAATATCTTCGATATCAATGACAACAAATGTTGTCGTTTTCTATAATTCATACGATGTTTCATACTACGAGTGTCAACGTTCGTAACATTATCCCCTTCTCTAAAAAAAACTGAATGTCTTATCCGCGATAGTTTTAATAATCAAACTTCGTTCAATCTGCTACTATATTACATAAGATACTCTTATTTGAAAAACAACATGTAGACTTTTGTGACTTTTAGATAGGAATCGAAATCAGATATTTCTTCGCACCAATTTCTTCTGGTTTTCCTTCTTCCTTTTCTTATGGCAATATTCTTGCTTCTCGGATTTGTTCTTATTATAACACGGATTTGTTCTTCATTTCTTCTTTTTGGCTTATTATTTGGCTGATTTATTATTAAAGTATTCCGATTTATATTCAATCTCTTAAGATACAGTCATTTCCACGCTTTCATGAAGGCAGACCTTAAAGATACGAAATGTAAAAATTTTTTAATCTCCTAGTTGTCCCACATTTTCAGGAAATAATAGGCAGAAACCATTTGCACTAACTTCTCAATCTCGACGGCCAACACAATCGACTTGTTAATCCACTGCTGATAATTTCGAAACAAAACGTAATTTAAATTTGATTCTCAACGAAATTTTATAACCGAAGGTAATTTTAAAAAGTCCGAAAAATAATCAGCAGAGAGAAGTTAAATCTATAAAAACGTGGTTTCGCCATACGTCTAAATTATATACAATTCATAATTGCGAATAAAAAAAGATTTATGTGAGTGGAGTGTTAGAATCAATCATTTTTTTTTTTTTTTTTAGACTTAACAGCAAAAATTTCACTATTCATATTAATATTTGAATTATATAAAGTATTTATGAAGAATGTCTTGTCTGTTCCATTATTATTCTATTATTCTAAAATTGCTATTTATAAGAAAGATAATAATCCATTGAATTTTTGAAGTTGTTCTTCAAGATTTATTCATATATTCCTCTCTGAACTTCTGCTTCTTCCATTGCTTCTTTTTGTTGAATATTTCTTTTTTTTTTTCCAACGACTGGCATTGTTCAAATTATTCTTGGAACTTCGAAGATCCAAAACTAAGAGATTAAAAGAAAAAAGTTTTTTTCTGGGAAAGCTCTCTCGTCTGGTTGTAACTTTCTTTTTTCTTTCTAAAAAGAAATTTTCCGGAATTTCATTTTTAACACCAGTATTGCATTTGATTTTATATTATATTTCTTTATTTACAATTTTTTTTACATTTTTACACTTTAATTTGTGTGTAATTATTTACTTTACTTTTTTATTTATAAAGCGATATAATATTTCCTGAACTGTATGATTGGCCATGATATTTCATACTGTGACAGATCGTTCATAACACACAATAGTATATGTATATATATAAATGTAACAGGAAAATTATAAATTTTATTTAGTAGAATTTTATGATTCCTTTTCGAGAATAGATATATTTCAAGTAATATTTACCAACTAAATTTGACATGCAAGTTTGGAATGAAAATATGGATTTGCAATAATAGGATAAATTATTTTCAGTTTAGTAAAGAAATGCCATATTAGAACTATTTATGAATATTTTTTATTTATTTATTTTTTTTGCAAGGACCGTAAAAAAACAAAGGACATTAACAAATCATTGTCAAAGAAATTCTAGATTTTAAATGTACTGAGACTATAAGAATTTTGAATTTCAAAAGTCTACCATCCCTTCAACCTCTAAAAAAAAAGAAGATATAGTGAAAAATATTGTTAATAAAATTATTTTCAATTTTGGAATAAAATATTAAAGTCAGATCCATAGACGAACGAATTGTAAAAATATTTCTTATAAATACTAACACTACGTGAAAAGAGAGATCAATAAAATTATTTTTAATACAAATATAAGAAAATTATAACACGATCCATAATTCAAACTTTTCATAGAAAGTAGATATTGTAAAAATGATACATATATATGATTTTATATATTTAATAGATTAAATTAGAAAAATAAATTTTATTTTTCTTTTTATTAATTTATTTTTTTATTAATATATTTTTAATCTTTATATCTTAAAATATTGTATCACTTTTAAAACAATGATTGATATAGATTTCTTTGACACACGGAAAAGATATTATAATGAAGAAAAAATATAACAAATCTCGTATATGAATTTTCAATAGCTAAAAAATCTTAATATAATAAATCTTTCTTTAACAATAATATCTCATATTTGTTTTTGTATTTTTTGACCAATTAAGAGAATTAAATATTTCATATTATTTAATTTATTAAATTATAGATGTAAGATTTTTTGCAGTATTTTTAACTAACTTAAATATAATATTTTGCATTAATTTATTTTTATATTGCAACCATTTTTTATATAATTCCTTCATCCAATCGTCGTTAATTATTTTTAATTAATTAAAAAATTTTGATGATCTTGAAATCTCAAAAAAAAAAATAATTTTAAACAAATTTTTTGTCTATTATTACGTTTTCTCCTTTAAACTAAATATTCTTTTTTTTTTTTTTGATGATAAAAAATAAGTGAGATGTGTTTAAATTACATAGATATTGTATATATACAATTGTATATATACAAAATCAAGTTATACAACAAAAAATATTATTAAAAAAAGGAATAGGAATTTATCCAACGATAGAAATATAGCTAGAAGAGATTTTTCCAAAATATTGAAATTCAAACGAAAATAATAATAGTGATGTTGTTGAATATACAATATTGTAAATTTTCTTTTTTTCATCTAAAATAAAAAATACAAGCGTATGGATTTATGAATGGTACTATATATTTGCTTTTATACATAAATTATACTCATGATAAAAGAACATTATATTATTATAGAAAATGCTTTATTTTCAATCTGAAGAGATTGAATAAGAAACAAAATAAATAAATTGAAAAGATTCAAAGACAAAAGAAAATACAAGAAAAAATTTCGAAATTGCAAAATACGAAAATCTATTTCAATAGAATATTAATTTTTCCTTGTATATTTCATCCTTGAAGATAAAATCATGTAACCAAAAATTAGATCAGAATAATTAATAATTGAATAAACTAAATAAATAAAAAGGCGATAATCCATCCTTTAATTATCAAAAACAATGAGACTAATTAATATTAATAATGAGATTAATTAAAATTAACAATGAGATTAATTAAAGTTATATAGTATTTAATATATATCTAATTTTTTTTATTTTTAATAATTATATGTTTAATTATTATAATGTTTAATTTTATACAATCTCTATTTAATTATTACATTACACATAAAATATTACATTGAAGAAATAAATGATTTAAATCAAAAGAACAATTTAACAACTATTTTAATAAAGAAGTTGAATGGCAAGAGAATAATAAAGCATTAAAACCTAAATAAGAATTTCTAAATATTAAATATTGTACAATATGCATGCTCTGTTCTCCTCATTTTTTTTCTACATTTTCTTTCAATTTTAATTATTCTTTCTATTTCAAATAATTCTCAATGTTTCTTTTCTTGGATATCTCACATATTTGATTGTGTCATCACTTTCTCAACCTCAACCTCACAGAAATAACAACAATTTAAAACATTACAGAGAATATGTTTAACAATGATATCAAATTACAATTTGCAAAATAAATACATTTTTTTTAATTTATTAAATATTTATTTTGTTTTGATTTTATATATTATAAAATATAATACATATAATCTGATACAAAACATGGATAATAAAAAAAATTTTAAGCAAAAAATCAACGAAATTGAGGTTAAAGTGGCTCATATGAAAAACAAGAAAAATGAAAATGTCGAAAAAAAGAAAAATAAGAAGTTTTAAAAAGAATAATATAATAGATATATATATATAGACTAATTACTTATAACTAATTAATTATAATAATAAAAATAATATAAAAATAACTACTGAAATAGCTTTATCTTAATTAATGATTCCTCTATAATTATATAATTATATAATTGAATGAAAAAATTGATGATGTTGGAATTATGTAAAAAAATAATGATGATGTGGAAAATTGATAATGATGTTTATTCTGATGATAATTTATGATCCAATAATTCAATTTGAAATAGACTATAT